TTTCTAAGAAAGGATGAAAGCATCTATGCCAGCTTTGACTCAAGAAACATCAGTGGCACAATTTCCAAATATGAGGTTAAAGTTTGCTTTTTCTGGTTTAGTCAAATACTTGTGTGATTGTAGCATTATTTTCTGTTTATTAATAAATATCATTACATCCATATGATTCTTGATGGTTTTGAACACTAACTATGCTTCCTCATTACTGTTTCCTTGAGGAGGTTTGTTTTTGTATTTTCTTCAATTTCCATTTTGTTTGCATGTATTTTGGATATATTTAAGGAATATATGTCAGCTGGAACTATTGTGTAAAATATTTTGCTGATTGTAAAACTATAACCTTTTTAAGTACTAATTCTTCAGTGTTATCAAGTTGTTGACTGAAGAAATTAACAATTGCACTAATAAGTTGATACCAAATTAAGTGCTATTTAGTGTACAGTTCAACATGTGAAATTTTATCTTTTTGCTATATCTTGGTGTTTTTCAGAATTCTAAGTGATATAACACTTCCATTGCTTCAATATTTGATGATTCACAGACAACAAGGAATTCTTTCATATCAACAAGATTGATTGTGGGTAGAGTCCATCTATAACCAAGGCTCACTCTGATTTTTACCTGCTTGGACACTTATGAAAATTTGTTTCAATATTTCTTCAATTACTTATCATTTAATTATATATTAACTGATTAACTGATATCCAAGAGAAAGGCTGAAGAACATATTGATCAAAACATTGATGATAATAACAACAAAGATACAGACACAGGTTCAAATAATTATTGGAATAACATGGATAAAGTAGAATCGTTTCTTTTAATAAATGTAAAAACTGCCTAAATTAACTGATTAAAAAATGACCAGCCTTTAATGCAATGCTGTCACAACAGGGAAAATAAATTCAATTTTTATCTGAGTCAACTTATTTATTTCCTACAATTTAATAATTGGTGATTAAATAATTACTACATTTTACTTTTAGAAAAAATAATAATAGAAGTAGATAACTTTTGCCTTTAATGACAATGTGGTAAGTCCTTTTACATGTATATTTATTTCATTAATTGAGAGAACAATCAATATAATAAAATTTTCAATGCTAGTAATTACTGTAGTTAAATAGAGTATTTTTAGAAAATGATTTAAGATTAAAAACAAATTTGAATTAAAGAATACAAGAAAGGTAATAAATTTTTACATTTCTTGTGAAAATTATTTCTATAAAATATATTTTCTATAAAGTAAATTATATATAAAATCCTAGAAAATGCTTTTTATATATTCACATATATAATTAATAAAAAATCCAATAATTATTATTATAACTATTTATATACAGTATTCTAAATATGATAAATAAAAATATTTTGCATACCTATAGTACAGAAGAAAAGAAATGAATAGTTTCAGTATTTAAGACATAATTTTAATAAATTTAATATTTTTAACATAAGCAAACTAGCTGATATTGTAACAAGCAATTACTGTTCCAGTGAGATAAACTTGTTTATACGTTCTTTTTATAGATACAAATATTTAAGTAACTATGAAAAATTCTCAGACATTCAGGCAGGTAAATGTCGTTAATACTGTTTATTATAAACAAAGCATTTACTTAAATATTTGTATCTATAAAAAGAACGTATAAACATAAAGAATGTCTTAAAATAATTGTCGGACTTTGTCCATTTCATAATGTGTGACGTCATTTGTTTACATTTGGATATGCATCAAGTAGATATGAATGTACAAGAGAAAATCATGGAGAATTGTAGTCTAAAAACAGTAAAATTGACCCTGCTAACTGAAACGCTCCTCTGTGGCTTAATCAGTAAAAGCACATCAGGCTATATGACGGTTCTGTATAGGATACAGGTTCGATTCCTGTCAGAGGATGCATATTTTCTATGAAAATTTCTCGGACATTCAGGCTGGTAAATGTCGTTAATACTGTTTATTATAAGCAGAGCATTTACTTAAATATTTGTATCTATAAAAAGAATGTATAAACATAAAAAATGTCTTAAAATATATAATATATTGTTTAAGTACTATATTAGGTAACAAAGAGGATGTACAATAATAAAATATGCTCCAAATATTTAGGAAATACTGGTAGTCTATAATATTAATATATAATATTAAAGGCTAAAGAAATGGCTTTATCTTCAAATGTCAGATACAAATGTGTTTTCAGTCATGTTGTTAGGAAAAAATAGTATGTCCTATACGCCATGAAATACAGTAAATATCTAAACAATTATTCAACTTAAAATAGCATTAATCATTTTAATTATAGCTTGACATTTAAAATCTATACCTTTTTAAGCTGAAATTTTCAAATACAATTCTTAACTAAAATGATCCATTTGAGTGAAGCTTGATCAGCTAGATACAAGTTCATTATTTCAACAGTACACTCAAAGATGATTGTAGGAAGACATACATGACTGATGTTAAACAATCCTTCAACCGATATATAATAAAAAAACAAAAACAAAGAAACCGGATGAATATTGTTTATAATTTTGAAAAGTTATTATCATTCAAAGACATTTTGGGACAAATGAACAACAATTGAAAAGGACAAAAATCATCCAAGAAAAGAATGAATTCAATTGTCAGAAAAGCTCTTAAAAATACCGAAAAAACAAATCTGATCAGTGTTTTATTATTATATATTGTCATGAGTCTGCAAATATGTTGTATCATTAATCATTTTTTTATAATTTAATACAATACTTTAGTCATAATATAACCAATTTATCTTTTATTGTCTGCCTTTTTTTTTAAATCCTATATCGTTTTTTGCTCTATGAATAACAATGACTCATTATCTGCTGGTGAAAGAAAAGCACTTTGAAGAAATTGATTTTAAATTCCTGCTTTATGAGAAGTGTGAAAATTAACACCTCATAAATGCATTTGGCAATTCATATTGGCAACACAAGAATTCACAATTATTTGATCATTATCCTCCAACCCATTCAGAGAAAGGAATTGCTCCAGAAATAGAGATTGGCATTATTGAGATAAAATCAATAAATATATTCTTTTATAATAAATATACTTATATAAGTGTGCATGTATATGATACATTGAGCAATAAAACCAATATTCTTCCATTTTCCATTTATAAATATTGTGAAAAACAACTTAATAGCAAATGAGAAACTGACAAAATGGTTTCAAATCATGGTTGCTGACTGTTTTTATAATTTTGTGTAAATGCCTATTAGATAAACCTGAATTCAAATTTGTTTTTATGTCACATTGCCTCTTGAAAGTGCATTCAAAAGAAAAATAATTATTCTGCACAAGCCTTTCTTAGTATGATCATGAGATTGAAGCGATATACACCAGAGAGGGTTGAATTCATATTTGGAAACAAGTAATAGCTTTTATACACACACACACACACACACACACACACACTACTCCCTATACAGATTTAATATATTTGCCAATTTTCTAAATTTAGAAAAAGCTGGTGCATAATTACTGAAGATAATTTTACTAGAATAAAATGTACATATAATTAGAATATATAAAACACATAATTAGAATATATAAATATATTCAAATAAAGGTGGATGAGGCAAACTGAATAAAAGAAAATAATATTAGATTTAATGTACATAAACTAGATTAACACATATACATAGATATGATTTTATAGAAAGAAAGAGTGTGTGAGAAAGAAAGGTTATTAAGAGTTTAATCAAAATGGATGATCATTACGAGAGTTACAAATAATAATACTTATTAAAAGTAACACAGTAATTTGTATAGAAGATTATAACAAATTTTTAAATGTTATGTTGAAAGCAATCATTACATTGAATTTAACATCAATATTCATTCAATCTTTCTATAAGATAATTTTTCTTTCTCAGAGATATATCTAGGCAAGAACAAAAAAAAGCTATTAAAAAATAAATTTAATATATTGGTTTGTTTACTATTTACATTATTCAGACTTCATCTTTGTTGCCATATTTATTACAATGTTTTGGCCGTTGTACGCCCTGGTTGGAATGTCAAACTGGACCCTTTATTTTGCTCACTGGGGTAGACTGTTCTAGTTCCATGTTTAATGGATGTCAGTTATCAGTTATCTCGTGTTAATTCCCCCCTCCAAGTTCTCCACTGCCTTGACCAGGTATTGAACTCACACTCTTTTGGCTCTGTCACTGGATCTAACTAACGCCTTTATCCACTGTGCTTAGTGTCCTTGTAGGAATTTCTGGGTATTATAAACCTAATGTCATCAGTAACTATTTTTTTACCAGTGCTCATATTGCAATTTTTGTTGTTGTCATTTCATGTTTTTACCAGAGCTCATATTGCAATTTTTGTTGATATTATTGCTTTTCTCTGGCACTCCTTATTACTGGTTCCCATATTGTATTCATTACAATAGATAAATATAGACAGATTTTGATTTGTTTATTTTTTTATGGCTCATCAATCTTTTGCAGGTTATTCAAAGCTAGAAAATAATTTTAGATTGTCAAAATTTTTTGGAGATAATAATGATTTACTGATAAAAATCCTACTAATTAACCCATAGCTGGAGAGAGAATAGGTGGATTCATACTTTTCCCAAGGGTACTTTTGCATGTAAGTGAATGTATTGTACCTGACTGGAATTGGAATGTATCTCTTCAATCTCCAGTTCTGTTGCTGTTATCCATTACACCACTCATACATCAAGGCTTACAGAACCTGGTATTCCCAATTGGACACCCATCTAGATAATGACCAGGCTTGACATTACTTAACTTTGGTGATTATACCAAAAACCAATTTTTCAATTTAAGCCTAAATTTTATATAAGCTTTAGGACAAATAAATGATAATTTTATTAAAACAATTATCAATGAAGAATATTGTACTGAAAATTTATATAAAAATTTCAAAACATTTTTACTCATATAATATGTGCATGAGTGTATTTCAACATGTGTGGAAATAAAGAAGATTATAAAGTTACCTTTTCGAAACAACTGCGGACACTAGGTTCAATGTTGCTTCCTCCAAAAGATGCAATTTCTCCTAGCTGACGAGGAATTTGTATACAGTCATGAATGAGGAGTCCAAGTTTCCGTTGGTCAGCAAAGCCATTTGCATCAGCAATCAAACGGAATAAATCTTTTAGTAAACAGAAAAAAAGTAAAATCATTCTCAATTTCAGTCAAAAAACAAAAAGTGTAAATAAAATTTTCTTTTGCATCAATTGATGCAAGAATCATTTCTTTTTGTTCCAATCTATTTCTTTTACATAATAAAGCAGTGTTTCTCAACTTGTAAAATTTACAAACTCTGGGGTACACTTTAAATGTTAATAAGTAAAAATTATTCATGAAAATTTGAAAATAGGACAATAATAAAGAAGTCTCCTGAAATGAGCATTTATTTTTAAGACATTACATTGTATATTTAAGTTGTACAGTTTTCATTTAAAGGGATTTATGAAGAATCTTTTATCCTTTGTTTGTTTTTTTTTTTTTAAGAGAAGCTGATAATGACTGATTCAAGGATTAAGGAATTTAGCATATACACAGAAGCAGTCGGTGACTGAGGTAAAGGGAAGCATTGTCAGCTGATGTCATCTATTTCTAAGAAATAACATAGTTAAAGCTAAGATAAAGTGTATCTGTGAATGCCTGATGTCCAGAACATTTATTCATTTTATTGGAGAAAATTCTTCAAAGTACTTATCCCAGATAACATCCCCTACCAACACTATCAATTGCTTCTCTTCTGCTTTAGTTACCGACCACTGCCTCACTAAATTCAAGTATTCATTTCATAGTGGTAACATCCCGATTGTTTTGTGTAAGAAAATTTTCTGTGAAAACATGTATATTTTTATTTATTCAACCATGGGCTTGAAGAAAGTAAGCATTAAAGATAGAAGTAATAAGAAGAAAAAGCTAATTACATTAGAAGTGCAGAAAGAAATAATAGAAAAATACGAGAGAGAAGTGTGTATAGTGGACTTGGCAGGGCAATATAATTAAACGATGTCAACAATCTGCACCATCCTGAAGCAAAAGGATAAGATAAAAGGTGTTTCACCAGCAAAGGGTATCTCATGGGCTGTCCAGGCAAAGGACAAATATCCATGAGATGGAAAAGCTACTTTTCCTTTGGATTAATGAGAAGCAGCTTGCAGGTGATACTCTGATGGAAATACTTATTGCTGAGAAAACCCAAGTACTGTATAGGAATCTTCAGAAGCAGAAGTTGGGACCACTGATGCAAGAAATTCCAGCAAAAGAGTTTAAGGCCAGTTGGGGCTGGTTTGACAATTTTAAGAAGGGAACTGGTATGCACAGCATCATGAGAGATGGTGAAGCAGCCAATTTTGATAAGGCAGCTGATGAATTCATAAAAGAGTTCAGTTCGCTTATCACAAAGGAGGGATATGTCTCTCAACAAGTGTTCAACTGCAATGAGACTGGACTCTTCTGGAAGAAAATACCCAGGAAGATGTACATCAGCACCAAGGAGAAGATGCCAAGCCACAAACCTATGAAAGGTAGGCAAACCCACATATTCTGTGCTAATGTGAGTGGTGATCTGAAAATCAAGCCCCTACATTGGAGAACCCCTGGACATTCAAGGCATATAAAATCCAGAAGAGGAAGCTGCAGGTCATGTGGAGGGCTAACAGTAAGGCCTGAGTCACAAGGTATTTTTTTTTTGTAGAATGGATCAAAGACATTTTCAGACCTCAAGTTCACATGTTCCTCAAAAAGAATGGTCTTCCTATGAATACCCTACTCATCCTCAATAATGCCCTTGGACATCTTCCAAACCTCTACAATGAAATCTTGGAAAATTTTAAATTTATTAAAGTTCTTTACCTGCCACCGAACACCACATCTTTCTTGCAGCTCATGGACCAGCAAGTGATTTCCAATTTTTTAGCAAATTGCATACCAAACACCTGTTTCATTGGTGCTTTGATGCTATTAAGAATACAAACCTAAGCCCTTCATGATTTTTGGTAGGACTACTTCAACATTGTGAATTGTCTCAGCATCATCGATGTGGCCTGGCAGGATGTGACGAGGGGGACCCTGAATTCTACATGGAGGAAGCTGTTGCCTGAATACGTCTCCAACAAGGAATTTGATAATTTCATCACAGACAAACACAAAGTCGAGGAGATAGTGTTGGCAAATCTTTGGGCCTTGGGCAATGTTGATGAGCAAGGAAAGAAGCTGATGATAGATGAACTTGAGCTGCTAAGGAGCATCAAAACATGGAGGCGGTAAAGAAACTAGCCAAGGGGGAAAGTGTGTTACAGGTTGCCCCCATGAGTGAGATCAAAGAAGTTCTGGTAATGTGGAAAAAAGTGCACAACTTTGGAAAAATACCACCCACAAAAATTAAGTGCAAATCGTGCAGCTGCTTTGTTCAATGAAAATTGTGTTGACTATTTTCATTGCATTTTGAAATCAAGAATGAAACAGATTTCTATAAGTTTCTAAAGTAACAACCTTCAAGTGCTGAAAGTGAATCAAATACCACAAAAGTCCTTAAGTTCTGAGCGAAGACCTCAGAAACTTTCCTATGAAAGGTTTGTAGTTTAATAAAAGCAGTTTATTTCTTCCATTCTCTCTTATCATGTTCTTATTACATATACTTTTTGTGATTTAATTTTGTTACTGCTCTATTTTTAAAAATTCTAAAATAGATATTTTGGGTGCTTTGGAGGAAATCAAATGGATTAATTAATTTTCCATTAATTTCAGTGGGAAAAATGTTTTGTAATATGAGTAATTTGCAATATTAGTTCAGTCTGGGAACTAATTAAACTCATATTGTGAGGTCCTACTATATATATATATATATATACACACACACACACACACACATATATATATATATTTCAGTAATGAAAATCTTGGTAATATGTATGGCTGGTGAAATAAATTATAACAAATGAACCTTAAAGTGGTCTGTTTTTTCTTTAAATTAATTATATATATATATATATATATATATATATATATATATACATGAATGAATAATGACTGAACTAAACTTGTCCTTTTTTATCATAAGATCTCGAAATTTCTTGCTCTCAAATAAAATAACACAATAGTTAGACTAGCAAAGAAAGTTTTATTAGCTTTTGTGAATCTGTAAATAATCTGGCCTTTAAAGAATATTTAGTGAATAAATATTTGGTTGGATTGATGTCAGTTTGTGATCCTGGGTTTCACACTCTTGCGATATATACACACACTTTTCACATATAATGAATAAATATGTACTTTTGTTATTTCCCAACTATGTGAACCTAGAGATGAAATGAAAATGTATTTAACTTATTCTAACAAAAAAAAAAAAAAAAATATAAAAAAAAGTGCTTGTAAGACAGATGTTGTTGCAGTCTTTTCCTTTTATTGGCATTTCAGTTATTAATAAACTGATGATGTAATTTAGGTATATTTTATAAGCAAAAAAAATGCCTCTTTGTAATAAAAATGAAACCAAAAGTTGAGTTTAATTTTTTGCAAAGACCATTGATGAAAATATAAACTGAGTTGTGTATCAGAGTCAAGTATATATATATATATATATATATATATATATATATATATATAAGAAAAAGATTCAAATTAAACCGTTTTCAAACAAACAAAAACTTTTTTAAAAAATATAAACAAATAATTCTTTAAGACTATTACATTTATGCAAATCCATGTTTTCTTTTTGTGGAAATGAGAGAGTTCTTTCACTGTTTTATGAAATGGTTGACAAGACAAATATATTCTCAATACGCTCACCCATAATAGCGAAATATTATCAGACATTTTAATAATGATGAAAGTTAAAGAACTAGTGACTTTATCAGACATGCTTTGTACTGAAATCAATATTTGAATAATGCCAATTTCACCTTTATTTAATTCTAACAAAAGACAAAATATTATATTGTTACATTTAGCAGAAGAAAGTGAATAATAAGATATTGTAATTCTAAAACAAAATCAATTGTACATCTTCATTTCTACTTACAACGATATTTGTCCTCTAAATGTGCTTTTGTTAGCAAAATCACTCCAATTTTGAAAGACAAAACACGCATTTTCCCAGTTCGTGCTCTACAGAAAATTAACAAAAAAGAAAAATCAATAAATATTTTCATAATTCAAAGTATGAAACAAATGAGAAAGAAAATATATAAAATACATACATACTTCTCATATTAAAGATTTCTTTCCTTTTTTTGGTTAAAGCTTAAAATAAATAAGCATGATTCACAGATCAGGTTGTTTGTTTTCACAAAGAGTAAAACTTTAAAAATCGATTAGATTGAATATAATTGCAATAAAAATTAAAATAATTGAAGTAATTTGTTTTCTACAAACTCTGTTTAATGTTAAGTTATAGAATGTTTATAGAAAAAGGAATCTTAATAAACAGTGTATATGTATGTGGGTGTGTTATGATCTTACAAAACACAAAATTACTGAAATGTATACCAGAAAAACATTTTCAGAAAATTTAATTCATTTGTAAAATTTCATCATCAACATTTTCTTTCTTTTATATAAGTCCTTCAAGATATGACTGATCATGGCACTCTACAACGTTCTAACTTTTATTGCTCAAAGTAATTTTTGACTCTTTAATATCCCTTTGTTGCTGTTCTGCCATCAATTCAAACAAACTTCTTATGTAGATTACTTGTTGTTTTTCACCTGCTTCTCTTGCCATTAGTAGGTCTTGTAAGTCTTTAATTTTATAGGCCCACTTTCCTTATTATGTATTGCAGAAATTTCTGATTGTAAGAATAAGTGTCCTTGATGTTTCTATTATATACTTAAGACTTCTTCATTACCATTATCATCAATAATATTTTTGGTGGTGGTAAGGTGCTTATAGTTGCAATTTAGATGATATCCATATTTAATTTTATAATATAAGTATAAAGGTAATATTTTCAAAGCAAACAAGGAAGTGTAGTTAACTTTGATTTGATGTGTACTCAGTTTATTTTTTTATTTGTATTAATCTAAATAATATAAGTCACTTGCTATCATATTAAAAACATAATGTGAATAATTCTAAACTTTTCAAATGGTCAATACAAATTTTAAGAAAAATTGACCAATATATTTAATCATAATGAGATCTAGGTTGCAAAATTCTTTTATGACTAATAGTGTTGCACAATGCAAGTGAAGTTAACAAATGGTGGAAACATTAGACTTGCTTCAAGTCATACATTTTTGACACCAAACAAGTGAATTTATTGACACAGATTAACATAACAGAAAATCTATTCTAACACATCCCCATAGCAAAAAAAAAATTGCTTTACTGATGTTCAACTAATTGTAAAAGAGATTGATCAATTTTTTTACCAAAAATCATTGCTCTCATAAAAATCAAAAGCTTTTAAAAAATCATAAAATGAAAACCAACTTTGACAGTCTAGTTATAAAGGCTCTCTTTAAGAATTACTGAAGAAGGTTATATATTCTAGACACAAATTCCATCTGTAGATATCATTAAGAGTACTACTTTTGGTTTTATCTATCAGAATGGTTTTCAGTGTATAAATCTAAATCTGATATAAAGTATACAAAGATAAAAATACAGATACATGTTACAAATTGTAGAATAAGGCAATAAATATTGCATATATGCGTGTGTATACACACACACACACACATATACACACACACACACGTATCGCTATATGAGAGGGAAAAGAGAAAAAAAAACAAGGCATATAAACAAAATGTCTTAATAATCAACTTATACCTGAGAAGAGTGTGCGTGTATAAAAGGGAAAAAAGTGGTGTCATTTGAGATGTTAGTAAATTTGTTCTTGAAAGAGAATGCAATATCGCACAGTCACTTGTAAAGAAGATAATAGGTAAAAATCACATCCTTATTGCTTACACTGTAGAATAGAATAAGCTAGCCAAGTGTACAAGTTCTCAGAACGAATGATGATGATGATGATGCCCTCACTCATAAAGGATAAGAGATTGTGGGTGAGTGTGATGGTGGGGACAGCTGCAATTTATAGATTATTCACCAATAGCTGACAATTGTGTAGGTTGGAGATAAAATAAAAATAAAAAATACAAGATTTAATATAGTGGAATCGTATAACATAACAAAGAACAGAATTGTTACAAGTGAATATTCTATTTATTCCTGTTGAATAATGGTTTTGTTTAGCAACACATAAATTTGTCCTTCAAAAATATTTTACAATCATCATGGGCTTTGTAGTTCATGATTTTAATCGAGCATTAAATAATCCCAAATTAAATTAATAAGAGTCTTATCAAGTTAGGTTCCTTTGAAATTGAATTCCAATATATATTTAAACAAATATTGAATTCCAATATATATTTACACACAACTATAAACAGAAAATGTTCAGTTAACAGTGAAAATAGTAGAGGCTGTAAAGTCAACCCAGTACTTTGATAGAGTGATAAAAAATTTCTAAAAAGTCTAAAAAGTCCTTCCAAAGAAATTCTATTGTTTGCTCAGAATTTGGGAAGTAGATAGGGCTTAGAATATTTCAGCACTCTTTTGTAAGTATAAACAAATCAAGGAGTATGAGCTTATTTTTTTCTTTTTTCTTATTTTACATATTCTTGATAATTATCTATTCAATTAAGAAATCTAAATTTGAAATCATAAATTGTATCCTTTGCATCTTGAACATGCATCATTGACTTGTTGTGGAAGGTAGATATACAAACTTTTCAACTTGTAATTCTTGTTATAACTGAAGAAAGAGAGCTGTAAACAAATAATCAGCATAAATTGAATCACCAAACTCCAATGATTCAATCTATATTGAAATCTAGAACTGGAATATGATCACAATGTTTTTTAGTGAAAGTGTTATGAATTAGCTTTTATTAAAATGGCTGGTGTGAATTTGAGCCCATGAATGATCATGTATATCTGGGATAAATTGCAAATGTTATACTCTCAACAATGTATTTTTGAAATCTACAATAAAAATGGTACAAGCAGCTAAAACAAATTGTTTACAATTTACTCTGTTTTATCCAGATGTTTATTGGGAAAGGGATCGTCTAGAACAACAATATGAAAGAATAAAATAAAAATTGATTGTAGATTAAAAGGGGATATCTACATGTATGAAATTCTAATTAGTCTACAGAGTGAGGAAATATCAAACCACTATCAGTAACAGAATGTCAGAACAATGAACAATTGAAAAGGAAAAGTAGCTTGGAAAAATCAGTGAAATAATTACACCATTCTGAAACATGTTACTCAAACATTTCCTCTTCCTGCAGTTGTTTATTTTTCTATCTTGTCTTTCATTTTCTTTTTAATTTTGTTCTTTTTTTCAACATACTCAACTTCTCATATATCACTGTTCCCATTACATTTAGAAAACTCCCTTTTTCATTTGGTGGTTATAGAAATAAACCTTAGAAAGAGAGATCTAGAATTCCAAGTTAATGATTAATTGATATTTTGAGTAAAACCAATTTTAAACTGGCAGCAGCATTTCTGACTTGAGTTTGAATACCAGACTGATGACTGAAAAGTCTAAAGTTTCATTCCAAGATAATGAGTTTAGCAAAGAGAGAAATCAAACTGATTACAAATGAGCCGGCTTTGTATTCATAAAACAGTTAGAAATTTATTAGTTTTGCATCTGATATATTGAATACACAGAAATATTGAACAATTAGAAATATTATAATCTGAAGTGGAATCAGCACTGACTGAAATTGAACAGTAACAAAGCAGCAGGACCAGAAGGAATCATAATAGAGATACTGGCAGCCTTAGATGACTTCAGTATTGACAAGATTACAGATATAATAAATGAATTATACAACAGTAGTGATATACGAAGACCTAAGTAGACCCATTTTCATAGTGCTGCTTTAGAAGCCAAGTGCAAATTAATATAACAAAACTTATCAAAATTTTGATGAATAGCACATGCAGCAGAATCAAACTGGAAATAGGATAAGAACAGTGCAGGTTCATTAAAGACACTGGGACAAGAAATGCAAAATTTATGCTCAGAATGAGCAATACAAATGCAGAAGGATGTGTACCCATGTTTCATAGATTATGCAAAAAGCATTTAATAAAATATATCACAAAGAACTGTTAGAACTACCAGGTAACCTTACATATTTTGGAAGGATATTAGAATAATCCAGAACATATGCAAGCAGCAAACTGCTTACATATAGATAGAAAAGTTCAATAAATATACAAAAACTAGAAAGGGGTGTAAGACACAGATGTGTCTTCTCACCATACTTATTCAACCTATACAGCGTGGTGATTCTGAGAGAATTAAAGTCCTACCAGGATTCAATATTGGCAGTCACAATCTTAACAACATAAAATATTCATATTACACATTGTTGATAGTAAACATAGAGAAGAAAGGAATAAACCTGAATTGCAAGAAGATAGAATGCATGGTTACTAGCAAAAGAACAGTCCAACATTCAAATTACAAATTGGAGATAATGAAATCAAACAATTACAATTTACATCTCTGGGAAGCGTTTTAACAGAGGAGAGAAAGTTCAACACTGAAATCCAAAGGCACATTAGGATGGCAAAAAATGCCTTCCAAAAGCTAAGCAAAATTAGTAAGAACCAGAAAAATTTCATCTGAATCAAAGAAAAGAACTAAGCTGTTATTAAGATTAGTCCTCCTGTATGGTATTAAATGCTGAGCAATCTCCTCACAGATGAAGAAGGGACTTGAAGCAACAGAAATGCGGATCTACAAAGAGATGCTGTGAATACCATGGATTAACATGTGAGCAACAACAAAGTTTTAGAGAAAATGGAAACAAAATGGACACCTATACTTAACATCAGGAAGAGAGAGTTGAAATTTCTAGGGTACATAATGAGGAAAGAGGGCTTGGAAAATTTGATATTCACAGGAATTATTGCGTGACAGAGGAAAACAACACATAACCTACTCAATGAGCTTGAGTAAATGGATGGTGGAACAAGGTTTAGGAGAGAGAACAAAAAGACAAAATTTATTAAGACCTCCAAAGGACAAGAAATTGTGGAGAGCCATGAATATTAATGTCCTGAAGGG